GTGCAACAGAATTCTATCTCGTATATCACCATATGCGACGAAGGCTGCAAACGTCATATTTCATAGACGCAACGGAATTCTTCACTTCAGCGTGATTTTGTCGCGCGACAGTTGTCGCAGTCGCATACATGAAATAGTACCTTAAGGACACAGCGTTGGTTACAGTACTGGCAGTACTGTCAGTACATTTCGAAACACACCCGAAAATGTACTTAAAATACGTTTTGCAACAAATAACTATGATTTATTATTTGAACCCTTTAAAACAAAAAAAAACATACATATTTGCCGACAATCTTCGCACCACATTCACGTCTTACCGCCACTCCCGGCCAGCCAGCCGGCAGATGATTTTTCACTATTTTAATTAGTTTATTCGGAACTAATAAACGATTTCACATCGAGTGCACTCGTTTAGAAACGAAAACTGCGAAAAAAATTATATTTCCGGCTATCTTTACATCGCATATTCCTCGCCTTACCCCCATCCCGGCCAGCCAGACGGTGGATGGTTTCTCGCTATTTTAAGCGAAACCGTCATCTAACAAATGTTTTAATTAGTTTATTCGGAACTAACAAACGATTCCACATCGATTGCACCCGTTTCGAAACGAAAACTGTGAAATCAATATTTTTTGGCTAACTTAACACTAACAATTATTTTCGTTAGTAGTTATAAGCCACCTCTGGCCGTCACAACAAACCCCCACCACTGTCCCGATGAGTCATAGAGCGCATCGCGCTGTGTCCCCCCGTACCGCACTATGGCGTCACCCCCTCGCCAATGTGGTCGGCTCTCCCCACCGCCAACCTATGTTGTTGCTCCCCCACCATGCGGACCTGGTCCTAAGGCCCGAAACTCAGTAGCAGCGGCGTTGCGTGCCCCTAGGGGCCTATCACGGTCGGTAATTATGCATTGACCGCCGGTCGGTAACTTTTTTTTAATTATCCTAAGGAGATAAGTGTACCCGTGGTAAAACAGAGCACCGTATTTTGCAAGACACATTATGTATATTATAAAGCTGTAGCGCATGATACATTTTCGATTATTACCGTATTGTTGACGCGAATCTGCTTTAAGTCGTAAAAACGTATCCTGATTAATTGGTAATGTCTGGTCCCCGATTCTGCCCGTTTCCCAAGCCGCGTGACAATCTCCGAACAATGATGTAATCAGGGTTCAGATCGTCTCTGAAGAATGTCTTGAGGACACGAGCCCTCTATCGGTACGTCAACCCTGAGCACGATTCAAAGAAAGAGGCCGTACGTGAGTGGTTGAGATTGGGCCATTTAACGGGTGTACCGCTAGTATCAATATACATGGCGAAACCGGGAGTGCTGGACGCTGATGCGTTATACAATGATAACCCTGACATGATCTGCCGTAAGGGGTGGCCGTCCGGTGTAAGACCCGTGATACTACCCGAACTGTCTATAGCAACGATACTGACTGAAGGACACCGTGATTTGAAAATCCCTGCAGGTGTACGGCGGCGTCGAATAACAACGTACAGCGGAATACGCTTAATGCTTTATAAACTATTGAGAAGATATGGTCGGTGATGATGGTCCATTCGGTAGGTTCAAACTCCACGCCAGAATAATCTTGATTAACGATGCGTATCACAGGTGATAAGCTTCCCGAACGATTTAAAGAGAAGCCGGTGATCACTTGTTTCGAAAACGATCGGTTTAGACCGTACACAGTGGAGAGCAGTACTTGCTTCTTGTACATGATTGTAGTAAATGCTATTGTACGATCGGTGCGATGGTCTGAGCAGTACTGTCTAAGGCGATATTGAAGGATCGAACAATTTGGCGTACAACACAATGCACACACGAACAGCATCCCGGCGTAACATCAGACATATACGGTGTACGGCAATTTTTCGCGACGATAGCTGCGAAACACTGCTGCGGGATGACCGGCGCTGTCGATGGACCTGCTACTTTTTTTTTAATAAAACGTAAATTAGACGTAATCTTTTTTTTTTTTAAAAAGTATGTTTTACCGTTAGCACTTTGCATCACCGTCGCCGTGCTGGTGTTGGGCTCCGGATAAACCTCCTCTATATGATCGAGGCACCCTAAGAGCAACTGCTCCTCCTCCTCGGATAAAACGTAAATTAGACGTAATCTTTTTTTTTTTTAAAAAGTATGTTTTACCGTTAGCACTTTGCATCACCGTCGCCGTGCTGGTGCTGGGCTCCGGGTAAACCTCCTCTATATGAGATATTAATCATTTTTTTATATTGATACTAGCGGGAAAAGATATCAGCGTACAGCTTATCGGTGGTGATATCGACGAGTTCGATGTTGTTAAAGACTGGTGTGATCTACTGGCACCAGTTGATTGTAATTGATAAATATAAATAAAGTAAAAAAAACCTATGCACACAGAGTAGTATGATTCGTATCTCTAACCCTACACTACGATGGCGAGATGCTGATGCAATCTCGAACGGTGTACGTCAGCAGATCGCTGCAGCTCCCAACGCAACACATCTATACCGTTTTTTTCCGTATTATGGATACGCCGTATTTCGTGATCGACGAACGAGCGACCGATAATACATAATTTATTTCACGATTAAAACTTTTCTATCCGATTTTCCACGAATAACGATCCTATAAAAAAATCGTGACATTTTTTTTTGCTGATTCAGCTGAAACCATCGTATGGTATTGTTTTGAAATTAATATCGCCGCGGCTGTAAGACGTCCGCGGACTAGACGTACCCTGTTTTAGTTCGTATCACGACGTCTTGGCAGTTAGTCTGATCACTTACAGCAATCACCAGCTCTAAGCAAAGAAAAAAAAATGTCATCCTTGGGAAATATTCGCGATTGTATCCTTGATTTCGTCAAGACACGTCGCTTGAATACACCTAGAAACCCGAGATTATATTCACTGACGTGGTGTCGCGAGTTAAGATATTTCGGTTTTCGCACACTAACGCGTAGATTGAAAAGTGTCTTTACCCATTGTACTCTGCGTGTGCTAGCCAGGGGTCATGAAAGAGGATATTTCAAAAA